ATATATCTGTTTATATTTACATATTTAGATATTGATTATTTGTTACACTATTTTAAGTAAACGTGGTGGTTTTGTTGATATTGCTCACATAAATATATTGTGCAAAATTAAATTAATATTTTCCTTGATTTTCAACTGGATTTATTTTCAGATGATAGCTCGTTTAAAAGGTGAACTACAGTCATTGAAAGGTCAACTTGCTTTGGTGGATGAAAGTCAAAGCACTGATCCACTTACAGAAGAAGAAATTACAGAGTTAGTTTATTACCTTTTTATTGTTGATTGTTATTTCATTTTTATATTTAATAAACTTCTCACTCACAAATATACAGTAGTGACAGAGGCAAACCAGCCTCTACAACGGTTCGCTCCTTATAGCTAAAATATAATATATAAATCTAAAATGCAAATAATGAATAAACACTAAAATTTGGGGGAAAAAAGGCGAAAAATGTTGAAATAACAAAAAAAATTAAGAAAGGAAAGACAGCCAAGATGACAAAAAAGGAATAAGAATAATAATTCAATTCAATTCAATTTATTTAATGCTACAAATGCCATCAAGGGCCAATATATCCGCACAACAAAAAAGACAAGACACAAAACAGGTGACAAATTAAAAATACTGTCTACAAAGAATATTAGTAAGAATGCAATATGGGGTAGGGATGTCACTCCGCTAAGGCCCTAATGACCTGCATACCCCACCTAACCAAACTATGCATCCTGGGGTAGGGGCTCCACTAATGTCCTATTGACCCGCATAGCCCAACGTATGAATGAATAAAAAGAGTAATGAAAGTTGCCTTTTTTTAACTGTAATCATTTTCACTGTCATTATTAAAAGAATTGTATGATAATATATTATATTCATAACTATACTTTTTGGACAGATTAAACAATTTAGTTGAGAACTACTTAGAAGACCCAGATACAGAGAGTTATTTAAAGGTGCCACCTGATATCAGAAAAATTAATCAGTGTTTTAAAATATTTAAAGTAAGTATGATTTTCACAAATTGTACTATCTTCTTAGTATAAATATCAAGCCATCAGTGAGGATATGGTTTTTGTGTCTACTGCCCCAGGGAGGGCTGTAGATACTTAGATAAGACCTGTTCTAGGAAGAACTAAAAAGTTAACAATCTGTTACTCTACAGTTATTCAGTAGACACATGCTCCCACTGGGAATGTAATTTTATATATTTTGAGAGCCTTGTCAAGTTTAGATAACATTGTGCATGAAGATTGTGCTGTCCTATAATATTCTGCATGATTATATAAAGCTCTGTCCAGACTATCAGATTTATCTTTGACAAACAACTGATGTATGTCCATATATAGTCATGATGTGCCTATATATGGTCATGATGTGCCTATATATGGTCATGATGTAATGTTATCAGATAATAATCTGATTATTTGACAGATGGCAGGCAAGCTTTTACTTGACCTTATTTTATTTGTTAATTAAAAAATAGAATTTCTTATTAAGATTAATTCCCTAGAAACTGCAATACAGTAAAATGAGGCTTGCCATTGCAAAACCAGTGTACTGTCTATAAATGTTAAACTGAGTAATTAGCATAAAAATGTGCCAGTTTTGTATACTTTAGTAAAGAGAAGCAATAATACTTTTACCAAAGATACTAGAAATACAAGATAGAGTTCTCACATTGTAAAAATGAGGCGGAAGTCGTGCCCAACGTAGGCGGCGCCCTTCTTTTTAACCATGCAAGTTTCCTATACTTCGTGCCCAACGTACATGGCGCCCTTCTGTTGCTAAGTATATCCAGACGCAAAATTGTTTTGTGTATTATTTGGATAATAGCAACGATTTCTACCGCCACCAAGGAGGTTATGTATTCACCGATGTCACTGTCTGGGTGTCTATTCCAGTTTGTTTTTATATCTAGTATCTTTGTTGAGAATTGATAATAAAATACGCGACGACTTGGTACCAAGTTTTTTTAGATCCAGCTGTAGGGGGCGTCCCATTTTTCGTATTCCCACCATGCATTTCCGTGGAACACTTTTTTTGTGTGGAGAACTTTATCTTGTATTTCTAGTATCTTTGCTTTTACTTACAACTTTGGCAATATTAAGTTGATTTCAGTAAATGACCCATCATTTTAAAGCTTATAATTGGGAGAATATGAATATATTAAAAAGTCAATTTTCTTGTTTTGGTCACTGATGTGGTTTTGGCATTGCAAGCCACAAAAGATGTAAACTGAAGTTTTAATCAATAACATTTTCCAAATAATTTTTTTTATTTCCTACCAATAGCGGCTAGTAAAGAAGGAATTTAGTGATAGTAATCCTGAAAGAAGACAAACAAGTAACACTGAGTCATTGACAGAAAGGCAGAATTCTGTTGACACTGTTGAAGTTAAGAAGTTGACCGACATAATTCGTCAAAGAGATAATGAAATCAGTATCCTTTAGTTTTATTCCTCAGAGCAAACCGTGTGCTTTCTACTTTGTCTTAAGCTGCATTCACATCGAATCTGAACCTAAGTTTGGACAGTGTTTCCGAAGCACTGAACAAAAGCGTCACTATTCTTACACACTGATTTGATCTTCTGATTGGTTCTGTAGGCCCTCAGATCCAAAAATTCGGATTTAGTGTGAATGCACCTTTACACATTAATTTTTATTGTAATTTTTGTTGATAGAGGTCACTGTGGGCAGTCCTATTTCTTTGTACCATGGTATTTTACCACGATATGTTTCATTAATTTAGCATAGAATTTTTTAAAATTATTTAGTCTCAAAGATGTAGCCTTACAAAGTAATACTTTTTTAGTTTTATCTCTGCTCAAAAGCCAAAAAATATTAAATGTACATTTATTATTAATATATAAGGTATATGTACATGGGTGTAGTATGGTTCTGTGTTGTGTGAATACAATATTTATATGATAATAGTTATTTTCTATCATATTACATTCAGATATTTTAGTGAATATGCTTAAAAAAGAGAAGAAAAAAACCCATGATGCTTTCAATAAGGCAACCACTTTTAATGATGGAGAAAACAAAATGAGGTTTGAACAATCACACTCATCTACAAAGAACCAAAAACATTCTAACTTTCAAAATTCAGAAGAGTCTTCAAGAGTTCATAGTTCAAGTTATTCTTCACTAAGTGAAAGTTCAAGAGTTCATTCAGTAGATGCATCGACACGACAATCAACTGCACAGATTTCTTCACAGAGGAGAGAAAATGGAGAGCCAAGTTCCTTGTCATCTTCTTCCTCCTTTCATCTGCAGAACAGTAAAAGGATTCTTGGTGAGTCAAGTGGTATTAAGTACAGAAATACAAGTAAGGCTGCATTCACATCAGATCCAAACTGAAATTTTGACCGCATTAGCGTCCCTATTCTTACACACTGATTCGATTTTCTTATCAGTTCAGTAGGCCTTCAGATTAAGTCTGTACTTCTCTACAATGGTCAATGGGATAAACTGTATTAATGTATTATGAAAAAAGTAATTAGAATTTTTGAAATGATACACCCTCCAAAGCTCTCTCAAAACATCGTCATTCTCAAAATTCAGAAATTCTGAGATGGTATACTTCTAGTCAAGATCTATATTTAATATTTTTTTTAATAATTATTGATATTTTTCGCTCTTTAGTGCATAGAGACCTGTGTATTGTGCTATACAAATCCCACTTATTATTTACAGTATTATTACCTCTGCCAAATGTGGTTATGTATTCACCGCTGTCTGTTAGCAAGCTAACACAAACAATAATGAATGGATCCTCATAAAATTTTGTGGAATGGTACATAATATTCAAAGAAAGAGATGATTTAGCTATGGAAAGTGGTCAAAGGTTAATGTCATGGAGATTCAATTTTTTTTTTACCCCTTACACAGCCTGCATATTGTTCGGTATTCAGGCACAGAACAGAAGAATGCACTCTGGAGTGACTACTCTAGTCTTACAAATATTCTCTTTGTGAAAGGGATATGCGATTTCCAAGTTGCCTTTACAGCAGTCAACATTGTCTGTTTCAAACAGAAAAATACTAAACCTTGAAAATCTGTTTAGTTTCTTTACCTATTTCACCTGTCATCATGAGGCTATAACATCCATTCTGCATATTTGTATCTTGTTTTACCTTCTATAACAATCGTATTGCTTTAGTTTTTTTTTTGTTTTTTTTTTTCTGGTTCCAATGGCAATGTGATTTTACTTGTAGTACAGATTTCTTCTATTTACTGAATATAATTATTAACCACATTTTGTATTTTACTTTTCTGTATTTATTTCTGTATATCACTTTTGTTTTTATAGATCTTTTTTGTATTTTTTCTGATTTTAATTTTGACTGAAGTGAAATTAATTCAATCAATTTTTTTTTTATTAATCTTCACAAATTCAATTGATATCTCAAAATTAAAATACACAAAAAATACCATACACATATTTACATTTATTTTTGACATTTACAATTATGTTTCATCCGCAACGCAGTATTTAAGCAATATTATTTCAAAATATCAGTTATTAAAGATTTTTATATAATTTGTTTTTTTTTTGTTTCACTAAATAGAACACTCATTTAAAGAATAAAAGAAAAAGTTGCCTTGTAAAAAATGTTCCGTGTCATTATTTTTGTGTGAAATGGTTTTGGAAATTCAACATTTTGGCTCTGGAAAACTCTTGGAAAAGTTTTGGAATTTTCCCAAGTTCAAAGTGTATGAACCCTGTATTTACAATATCTAGGTTGTCATAATAGTTTTCTTAAACAATATCTCTTAAACACACTCTCTATGTACTCATTTGCGAAGACTCTGTAGCTTCACCAAAGGGTAGAACAATCAAAATTTATGCAATATGAACGAAATAATGTATATTTATAAAACTATTAAAACACTTAAACATACTTTAAACAAAATAAATAAGTATGTATTTCCTCATCATTCATCTTGTTGGAGGGACAACTGAACTAGTATCCTTAGCAAAAACATAATTTGCATTTTCATTTATAATTTATGTGCTGCAAATTATTTTATTTATGACAATGTTGTATGGTTTGATATAATGGTTTTGTAGAAAATAGTAAAGTTATACAATTATATGATTATATAACATAGAAATGAATACAGTACCAAATAAGTTTGATGATTAGCTAGTGAAATTGTGGAATTAATTAATTGCAAACCATATACATGAATGAATACATGAATCATTTTGTGTTTTGTTTTAGTTTGGATCCACATGATCTATTTCTAATTAGGTCTTTCTAAATATCTTCTACAATATAACAAATTTGTATTTCATTTCAGATAAGTTGAAAGGTCAAATAGAACATTACCGAATGCAGTGTGCAATGCAGGCTGAACCTAATGCAGGTCAGCCAGATGAAATTGAGCAAAAGTTAAGACATGACATGGAAAATGAAAAACAAAGGTTCAGTTCAACTTCTGTTAAATTCTTCTGTAAAAGCAAAAGTTATTCATTTGTTGGTATATTAGATAACAATATTTTAAAGGGTTCATAGTACTAATTTTAATCAATGTAAGTGAATCAATAATTAACTATTTTAAAATTTTATTGTACTTAAAAATAAATAATTAATAATTACAATAATTATGACCATGATAATTTTAATTATGATAATCATTAAAAATCATAGTCATATTTAATTGTATTTTAATTTAACTTGTAAATGAATTTGAATGAATGAGGTTGCTTTTTTTTATATATATTGTGCCTTTGTAATATTTATATTTTATTATTTATTTTTATTAGTCTAATCTTTTTGTTTTGACTTTTCAAGCTCTGTATTTATTTTTGTACTGTATTATTTAATTCAATCTCTTCGATTGGAATGAAGATATTTATAATTTGAGTTACTCTCAATACTATAGTATACAGCATAGAAATTGTTAATTTCAATTATAAACTCAATATATTATAGAGCAGTGCTAGACATTTATTTGACTTTTATTCCTAAATATGGTCATGATGAGATCACATCATGACCATATATAGGTACATCATGACCATATATAGGCACATCATGACCATATATAGGTACATCTGACTGACTATGGGCACACAATTGTTTTTATCAACTAAAATTTGATATTCTGAGCAGGGTTTAACATGTCTAACTTGTTTTTCAGTTACAAAGTGGCTTTTAATCGATTGAAATCACTCAAATCTGAGATAGAACACCTTCAACACCTTTTGGAAAAATCTCGGCTTCAGCTACAGAAAGATTTTGAAATGTGGTGGGCAGAGCAAACAGTAGCACTTGAGGTAAAGCAACAATTGATAAAGGTATACAGTACACAGGCAAATTCAAGGGTGCCCAGCATTCCTGCCCCCTCCCCATTTTTGGTAAATATAAAAAAAATTAGGGATAAAAGAAAATTACATTATAAAGAGTTATATTGTTTTTTTATATTTTCCTTTAATTTTTAGGTTGATACTGTATGTTACACTCAATAAGTGTACACATGTTAGTTCTGAATTGTAGTGTTTATTGTTAGTTTTGGGCATGTCATTGATTTTTAGTATCTTAATTCTAACCCAGTAAAGCCATACAACAAACATGTTTATTATTTCTTTTTTCACATAAAAATTATCACCATATTATAACCATTGGATAACTGTAGATCGTGTGTTGCTGCCTCTATGATTCTAATGTTAATTTGAAGCTTAAACATAGTCAACAGTGTGTTGTGATTGATAAGCCACCACTAGAGCATTGTGACACCACCAAATGTTTTATCCTGATGTCTTATTTCTCTGAAAGTCTGTAACCATACAACTTAAAAAAGTAGTGAATTGTTGGTGCTCAGATTTGGTTGGCTGCAATGCATGAAAACCAATATTTCAGCATAACCTAACCAGACCATTTAATAATAATAATGTTAATGATAATAATATTGTTATATTTATGTTGTGCATATTGCACATTACCTCTATGCACTTTACACAGAAATAATATAGGCCAACCGAGAAACTACAAATGATTATAATAATTGAATAATAATAATAATAATTATCATTATTATAATAATAATAATAATAATTAAAAATAATAATAACAACAACAACAACTACTACTACAACAAAAACAACAACAGCAACAACAACAATAATAACAATCATAATAATAGGAGTGATGTTTTGCCCTACCTGATGCGTTACCATACTGAATACTCAGTATGTTCCCAAGCACTTGCAAAAAAGTAAATTTGCAAGTGTTTGGGTGGAAATTGAGCCTACGACCTCAGATAACTAGCCTGGCGCCATAAGCACTACACCTACCGAGCTTGCACTTAGTGGCTAAGGGTTGAATCCGATCCCCAAGTAGCAGCAAGTACTGCATATGCTATTTCGATGTGAGTTTGCGTCCGGAAATCATCAAAGGAGGGCAAAACATCACTCCTATTTCCTGACGCAAACACTCGCATCGAAATTATAATGATGGTAATAATAATAAGAAAAAGAATAATTTCTCTAAATCAAAATTAAGGGGAATATCTTTTGTGTTATTTTCCCCTTAACATTTTGTTATTGTTCTCTAATGTCTCCATTGTCTAAGTTCCCCTTAAGGTAGGTTTTAGTAACATAACAACAACAATAACAATAACAACAATGAGGCTAAAGTACTCCTTAAACTAATTGATGGTTGGCTGTTGACTCCAAGATTAAAAAGATTATTCTTGTTGATAATGATATTTTTCTATTTGTAAGCAGTTTTCATTGTTGTGCAAAGGCAGGTATAGCCCCACAAATATGCTGACTTATTTCCTTTGAATTAATGTGTAGATCATTGTATGTATTCCAAGGTTATCCATTCATTATGTAGTTTAATTATGTGATACAGATCATCTTTTATTCATTCCAATTCCAAATCATGCTCTTAGTCTTCTTTACATTAATCTTCCATATTCAGTAAACACTTAGTGCAATATTTTCATTGATTCCTGAAGACCCGGATACCAATGTCATCGGCATAAGCCCCTTCAACGCCAAAATCGTGCAGCAATTCCCATCTGCTCTTTATCAGTGGCTTCGTTTGGAATGTTAAATGGTATTTCCATCTTTTCTAAACCTTTTTTTTTCACATCTGTCTCTGAAGACATGAAGAGCATAATCAGTGTAAGCATTAATTTATCTTGGGCCTTTATTTCCACCTTGTCTAACTCCAGTTATTTTCTTGAACTTGTCTATGGGATCACAAATAAAGGATGTATGGGGTTATAGGTCATGCTTTAAAAAAAAGTAACAGGCTCGGTGGTTGTGTGCAGAGATGTCATTTGATACCGTTGTATGAAAGAAAAGAATACTTAAATTATATTTATTATCTTATTATCCAGTCCTATAATATGTAGAAAGCGCCCAGGCCAGATTCTACAATTATTTATTTTCACGATTAAAATGATAAATAAAAATGTCTTCTTTGATTTATTACAGTATAGTATATCAATCATATATTATAATACAGTGCACCCATTAAATTGAGACCTCTTTTTAAAAGAACCAAATAACAATCAGCAATCTTTTAACCCAAAGCCAACACTTTTAAGTGGAGACCAAACCCAGAGACCACCCCAAATTTAGAGGGTGAACTGTAATTCTGTAATTTCTATTTTTTAGGCAAAGCAAGACCATAAACATCCATCTCCAGCTCCTCCTAGGACACCATCAAATGCCTGGAGGACACCCCCTGTATCCCCTCTCAAACCATTAGACCAATCTGGCACCAGTATACACACACAGCCTAGCCAATACCAGAAAAATTCAACACAGCCAGTGGAATCTAAAGCAGAAAGTGGTAGAAGAACTTCTCATCGACAGCAACGCAATGCTTTATTAGCAGGCCTAGCTTCACAAGGACACAGGGATTTCGGTAGTACAGAATCATCATCTCATTACAGATCAGGCTCTTCTGCAAATGACAGTAGTTACCATGGAAACTCAACAGACACTCAGTCGTCAAGACGTTCAAAGTAAGTCAATTAGCATATATTGTAATATCTTGAGTAGAAATTAAATTGGTGAAAATGTGCTGTGAAAAAATTAATCTCTGGCATTTGATGACAAGAAAAAAAGTACAGTATTGAGTTTCTTTTTTTTCTATGGATAATAAGAATGAAATTAAATTAAGAAGTAACAATTCATTTTATTTATTGGCGCCATGTTTATAATGCGTGACTCTTACAGCCTGGCTAATACATGAAAACATTTATACAACATATGTATTATAAACTCATGAAAAAATTATATTGATATTTTAATTGTACATAAATGTTTATAATAATTTCAATTTGCATAATAATAATATTGAATGTTTTTTTTATTTTTATCTTATCAATTTTTTTTATTTTCGACGATTGTACAGAATTAATTATTTTTTTCAAATTTCTACTTATGAATGGAATTTAAAAAGATCATTGCTAGTGCACTCTTCATAAGGGTCTGTGTCCTAAGGGTCCTCAATCTAGAACAATCGGCTTTGTTGATACATAACAACATAATGTGTCTCTGACATTGATTGTAGGACATTATATAATATGAGGTCTTTATCCAGTGCCGGATTAAAGGGGACCCTGCCGACCTGGGGCTCCCAAAATTTGCCAACATTTGTTTTTAAAATATAGAAATAGAAAGTCTGAGTGCCGTTTCCAGCCATCTAGAGGTGCCATAATCATACATTTTCGTACCTCAGCTCCAACCATGGGTGCCTAAGGGTGGTATATATGCCCTCCATCTGAGAAAGTCTCTCATTGCTCTGTCTCTTCTTGCACCATCAAATTTTGGATTAGCCACCGATACCATACCATTTATTTCTTCGTTAAAAAACATTTAGAATACAATGTAAAAAATAATTAAAAAACGAGTACATCTAAAATCCCACAATGGAATTGGTGACTGCCCAAAAAGGGCCCCATTCTCAAAAATGCACATATGGCCGGCAGCCTCATCGTTACGCCACTGATGGAAATTGACGGTTCATGCGCATGTACATTCACATTCACTTCAGCAAAATCAGTAGTTCGAAATGTTTCTACTTTTTGCCAAGCAAAAAAGTGCACAGCCAATCAAAGCACAGGAAGATAAGCGACTCTTTGATTCACGCGAATAAATTTGCTTAGTGGAAAACATGCTTTAGCCCCAAAGTTTTTCAGAATTGAGCATTATAGTATGATTAATTTTTGCCATGTTTAGGTCAAGTAGTGCAGTATCTTCTAGTGCAGTTCAACTGACAGGGGATAAAAGAGCAGATGCAGATATCATGGCATTTATTAAAGCAAGACAAAATCTTCTAAAGCAAAGAGGTAAATTCAATATTCAAGTGTTCTAATAATACACTACACACAAACAATTGGTTTAAATTGTACACTCAACAGCAGGGTGCTGGAGATTGAAATAGGTTTGTAAGAATAGAAAAAAAAATACTAATTCGTTGGGCATAATATGTTTTAAAGAACATAGAACAGCTTAAAATGTCCCAAAATTGCCAATTTTCACTATTTTTATTATTATTGTCATCATCATCATTATCATTATTATAATTATTATTATTATTATTATTATTATTATTATTATTATTATTATTATTATCATCATTATTATCATCATCATTATTATTATTATTTTCAGACCACAATTCAAAGTAGATTACTGCAATAAGATGTGAATTATTGGCATCACTGTAAACAACAAGAAACCAAACCAAGTCTGTGAATTTTACAAGAGCCAGTGAATGCCTAATCTTATTAAATGTCACCAGAATGCTAGTAGGAAGCTTTTGATAGCAATGACGACAGTAGGACGTAGAATGTAAAGACATCACTAAAAGTCATCTGCGCATGCGAGAATGTTAAGATCTCGTCGCATGGATTCTAGGACGCAATTATAGCATAATCTACGTATGCAGAGAACTTAGGACACCCTGTAGGACGGTCACGCATGAGTGATTCTGTTGTAGCATCGCGTCGTTGAACAAATCAAAAGCTATATATAAATATATTGATGAATTCAGAACTACAGGAATGATACCTATTTGAATGCTTTCTTATGCTTTAGTGTTGCAAGATTCATTCTCCACCTGAAAGAAATAATTATAATCATAAAAATCCCACATTTTCCACAATAAGCCAATTGGTAGTTTAAACTGCACATGCCCATATTGAAGGTCAGTCAGCAAAAACCTATGTTATGTGTATGTAAACCTATGTTATGTGTATGTAAACCTATGTTATGTGTATGTAAACCTATGTTATGTGTATGTTTGTTTATGTTGATTCAGGCTTGCACAATTCAAACGGCGAATTTGCTTGTTGTGGAAAATGAGGGATTTTTAAAATGAAGCAATGCAACTGATTGTGTATTGTGAATTAGTGGTGCATTCCACAATAGAATAAAGGTCGCCTCAAAAATATATGAAGCTTTAATAAAAACGAAATGTAGAATAAAATGGCCTTGACAATTTTTGTAGTCGCTTTTATTCTATTTGTACTTCAATTCAATATTTTTATGGTTTTTTTTTAAATATTTATTTGTAGTTATTAGCTTTTACACACAAGCCAATAGTTTCTTTTAATTAAGAAACTTAAAACCTTTAAGTGTTTTTGTTTTCCCTGGGTTTTCTTTCGATTGAGCTAGGATTTTTTAGGTATTTTTCTTTCATGTCATTTTGACTAATAGTACATCTTTAAAGAAATTCAATTGAAAAAGTCAACTGTTTGGTAGTTTCCACACAAAGGTTTACAAACAACCCCAAAACATTCATAAAAATATCAGTTAAGAATTTTTTAATATGTGGCTTGAAATCATATTTTTATAATTAGTAGTAATTATTGTACTTTAAACTCAAAAAGAAATTTAAACAAAATCTGCAGTGGCTGTACAACTTAATTTTATTAAAGAAAATGATTTATGCTTTTATTATTTGTAAAAGATAGAGTTTGTAATAAAACAATTTTCAATATCACATGTATTTTTCAATCTCTGTAAAAATCTTTGTGTCAGTATAAACGGTACATGGATTAATTCCATTTTATAATAAGTGTTATTACAATACTAAAATCGATATGTATTTTTTTTAGCAAATTAAGGATATATGCAAATATTATTATTATTATTATTTATTATTATTATATTAACATCAGGTAATTAGCGAGGAAATTATTTTAATATTCTAATTTATATTGAAAACTAATAACTTTTTGATATACAAAGTATGAAAATATTAACGTTTATATTTATATATTAATAATATGTTTATTAAATAAACGTTACACGGCTGCACGGACGTATCACTATCATTTGTAAGAAACGAAAAAAAATTCTTCAACCAGGAATGATGAATTATTCAAAGTAATATGTAAAATTTACATGCATGTAATAAGTAGTTACCAACGACGATATCCCACATCCACAAAAGATCTTAACTCCATCAACAAGACGTGGAAGCAACCCCTTAGCTATCTTATAGTATAACTTTGTTAACCACTGATATTTTGTTTTTCTATTGTCCATAGAGAAAATATTTTCTCTATGTAGTGTCGGACCCTTGATCAGCAAACCATCGGTAATATACAATACAATTATCTCATCTAGGTCATGTCTGTGATACCTTTGCTGGTATAGTACATGCTAACACTCCCGTTTTGGCCATTTTAGTGACTTGACGTCCGGCCAAGTTTTTTTCTCACGTTTTTTTACATGCTCTCCCGGTTTACAAAGAAAATTGCATAGGCCTACTTATATATTAAATTTTTTTTCCAATAAACTGCTATGAAAAACCTCAATATTTATGTTATTTTCAATTTTTTGCTCAGCGAGAGCATCGGCTCCCCGTGAGTGGTACGTACAGTCTGTCTGCATTCGTTTTTAAATGAAGGTTAAATTACGAGTAGAATACTTGTATACAGAAGAGTGATGTAGCTCGACCAGACCAGGGGGTTATTTAGAATACACACCATAAGAATCATGAGACTTCACCTTATAATACATTAAATAGCGAAAGCTTTCAGAGGGTTTAACCTGAGAGATGTAAAAAATGTGTTTATATTTCCCTGGCATAACGTCCTGGATCCTATGCAATGGGGACACCCCCTCCCAGAGTCATTTTTACCGTTTACCAGTAAAATCATCTAAAAAAATTAATGTAATTCCTGGGTTTCAACTTGAGGATGTGTATGTACATTCGTGAGTCCATTCCAAACACAAAAGGGTCCCACTAAAAAGATGAAATTCAATGGTGCTTGAAACGAAACAAAAAAGTAAAGAGCTACTAAAATTCACTGACAATTAGCATATCTTTAAAAAAACAATCGATGATATAGAACACACAGTTGACAAGCAACTTCTCTCAGCGGGAACAGTCTGGTTTCCTAAAAACAAATTTCTATGGTGCTCACCTCAAATTCAAGGCCTGTACTTACACGCACTTGAACTTGACAGTAGGAGCAAATGGAATAAGAGTGTAACCTTCATTGTAAGACTATTTGTCTTCTATATAATGATGGCATCGAGCATATCAGACATTTTTTTTGCAATAAATACGATCAAAAAACTTAACCTAAAAAATAATCTTTGTAATTCAGGGTTATTTCATTTATGGAATATATTTCAGTCATAAACGATGATATGATGTTTCTTGTTAGGTGGAGATTTATTGAGTTCACGCCTATGTTTGAAGGCTATGTAGCAGAAGCCCATGCAGATCTACAACAAAATCCAAACTTAAGTATAATTAAACATCGAATTTTTCAGATTTAGACACTTTGAAGATTCAAATTCATTCATTCATTCATTGAGAGTGTCATTTCCCAGCATATGGAGCGAGTGTCATTATTCTTTATACATGTTCGCGCCTCAGTCCCATGGTGGATCTAAGGTGGATGATTTTTTCCGATCCGATAAATCCTAAAACTTTATTTATCAAATTAAACCCATTGAAAAGAACTTTTAAAGTAGGCCTATACGAGTTCCATTTCTGGGCACGTAGAGTGCCATATTAAAAATGTTCCTATCTCAGCCTCAACCATGCAAATGCATAGTCGGACCTGTCGGACTGTATGTAAACATATTCTTCTATGCTCAAACCATCTTCTCCTATCTCAGAGAATATTTTCATAAATGTTCTATAGAGAAAGAAAAGAAAAAAGAAATGTTAGTTATAATGAACAGCCATTTTCTGCCATAAGATATAATAAAGCAACGTTTGTTATTGACTATTATAATAAAAAGATTGAAATGCAGTACGTCATAACAAGCTAGATAACTATCTTTGTCCTTGTGATTTATTCCAGAAACTGTTATAGGCCTATAAACCAGGTAACAATACTACTGTATAATAATGCATGTGACCACATCCGTATTGAGTACGTCTCGATGAATGATGATGATGATGTAATGATGCTGACGATACCAGCGATATTCATTACGTATGTGTTGGCTGCCACTTTTCATTTCTAATGCAAATCACCTGTTGTAGATGATCGATACAGTTGAATGAAAATGCATTCTATTTGTGCGTTGGTCGTGAACATTCGGCTGCATTCAGTTGTTGATAGTCTACCGCTAAAACTCACACAGTGAATATGTATATGCGTTGATCACGATGGAGGGAATACAGATTACGCCAATGTCAGAGCTTCATCAGGAGGCAGAAAATGGCACAGATAACCCAGCGTATCTTGCAAATAATGCCGACACATATAATGAAAAGAACGCTAGTATCAACAAACCTACCCCTAAGTTCACGAAATCTCTCTCGGATGTGAAAAGTACAAGAGGGAAGAAACCTATGTGGTGGTGTAATTTTATAGTATCGAGGCCAAAGACAGCATTTGGTAAGTAGAGTAGAATAATAATAATAATAATAATAATAATAATAATAATAATATTGATAATAATAATGATATTTTTATTGTTAATTTTTGTCAGTGTTAATGCATATTAATAGCATATTACACAAAAACATAGCGAATCGTACTACGGTTGATGATTATAATATAGGCCTACTAATTTGAGTAACGAAATACAAACGCCAGTACAAATCTGGAATAAATAATCGTAGCAGCATCCTTGCAGGCGTATTACCATTTAAGGACATTTTATGAGTTTCTAATTATGTAAATTAAAATATCGTGAATTAACAATTTTACTTAAACAAAAATCTACAAATTATTGAACGAGGAGTTGTCACATTACAAAGCAACACATGCGCGACTAAATTTATTCAAATAACGTTAGTTAGTGGAAGGTAGAAGAGAATAAGACCATGTGAACTCCAAAAGACGTAGATAATCCCAAGACGTAGCAACCACGATACTCGACAAATTATTCCTTCACTAGATCAAAATCTTGTACTGTAAATCACCGTTCCGTTTGTGTCGCGAAAAAAATTGATGGGTCGCATTAATCTCTTCAGATTGTGAAACTTTACACACGAACGAAGACAAACGAAATTAAATGACAGTAAACGAAAGTGCAATTTTAGTGACAAGTGCGTCAGTTTACTTTTGTTATGCATGCGTTATCAGAGTTTCATGTACAAAATATACTATCAAACATCTGTACTTCAGGTACGACAACCAGCAGCACTGGAGGAATTTATAATAAAACGTCTGTAGACCATTAATTTTTATAATTCTTTTAACTTATTGAAAAATTTGATAACTTACGTGGTTTTGTTAAATGAGTAATTCATTTTTTTTTTTCATTTTGTGGGTTTTACATAGCGACTCTCTGGGTGATAGGCCTGATATCTTTTAATTAATTCACAAAAGAATCAAGTGGGTGGTTCTTCCCTCTATCCCTCGCGCGTAGGCCTATAAAACGACGGACGTTTTATTGACTTCGGTTTCGATGGGTCGCTTCTGAGTGCTTGACATATAACTTGGGTCGTGCGATAAAAAGGTTGAACGGGGCTGCAAATGACATACTGTTTTTACAATTTTTATATTCAATGTTAATATTTGTATTATGTAACAAATTTCACAAGAAACATAAACGTTATACAATAGAAAAATATCATAATAAATGGTTGCTATAGCATGGACGATTTTAATAGTCCTACTGCAATACATGGGCAAGTAATAAAATGAAATTCGCATTTGCTTGTTTACATTTGGTTGTATTATATAAATTAAATAGCAATATACTGAAAAAGCATCGGTTTTAATAGGCCTACTGCACTACATGGGCAAATAATAAAATGAAACTCGCATTTCCTTGTTTACATGTGGTTGTATTATATAAATTAAATAGCAATATACTGAAAACGCATCGGTTTTAACAGGCCTACTGTACTACATGGGCAAATATCTATCTATCATTCAATCAATCTATATATATATTATGTATGTATGTATGTATGTGTGATTTTAAGCTTATAGGTAGTAGCTGGTATGTCATGAAATAATATGCAAATTAAGTTTTTGCTGCTTAGCACTGGGAACCAAATAATGTATAAATCTAGGTGAATTTACCTGATAGGGCGACACTATTTCACAATGTTTTGTCATACTAAAATATCTGTTCTGGTTTTTTTTTGGTTTTTTTTTCAGGTATCACATTGGGTGGCCACATATTAATTTTGCTTATCACCGCAGGTCTGGTTTATTTTGACTATAACATCTTTCCAGACTATTTCACAGACCTACCTTTGGACATCCGGAACGACGAACAGTTTAAGCGTGGAATCGCGTGGGATAGACGAGATAACAACTTTCTGAAAGTGTACCGTACGCAAAGCAACGAAGTTCACAACATTCGAACAGCAGATTATGATTCTCTGGAAGTAATCTTTTTTCAAAGAAATGGAAATGTTTTTAGCAAGGAAAACCTCGTGAAAATTCAAGATTTTGAACGGGAACTAATAAACATGAAAGACTTCGACAAATATTGTAGATTGGATGGAGGAAGTAATAGTAGCTGTTTGTCACCGTCGTCAGTAATTCGATTTTTCGATGGTTCGTACGTTGAAACTTACGGAAACGCGTTTTATGATCCACAATTCGATAACATCTCTGCAGTATTAAACGCTGCCTTATTGATCCCTGACTTGCAAGAGATAATGCAGTATTTTCTTGAAGAGGATTCTGTGGTAAACTCGGAAGAAGCGATCTCTGAACTAACGCGTTTAGTTCTTGATTTTGGGACACCTCTCGATAATATATCTGAAGCATTAACGTTCGAAGATGAACCGAATACTGAAATTGATAAATATATCGATGAATACTTCCAGACTTTTTTGAGCAAAAAATTTGAAAGTGGCCTTGGCGATGGCTTAGAGATTACCTACTTTTCAAGGGCTATATACGTTAATACAATAAATTCTGCAATATACCGTGATCTTGCATTGATCGTTGGTAGTTTTGTTTTCATTGTACTCTTTATATACTTTCAGACTCGTTCTTGGTGGATTACTGGTTTTTCAGTTTTTAGCATCATTACGTCTTTTCTCTGTGCTAACCTCTTCTATCGTGTCGTTCTCGGTTACGAATTCTTTGGCATATTTCACATACTGGCCATCTTTATTCTGCTTGGAATTGGAGCAGATGACGTATTCATCTTTGTAGACACATGGCGCGCGACTGGACTATTATCGTATCCATCGCTCGCTCATCGGCTGTCGGATTCATATCGTCGTGCCGCGACAGCAATGTTAGTCACATCTTTAACAACGGCTTCTGCCTTCTTCGTAAATTTCTTTTCGCCTTTTTTCTGTACATCGTCATTTGGATTGTTTTCATCTTTGATGATTGTGGCTAATTACTTGTCTGTAATTATTTACTTTCCAACGGTTCTCATTACATATCACACGTATTGGAAAGATTGCCGCTGCTGCTGTTGTGCATGTTGCTACCCAAAGGATGATGGCACTGCTCCACGTGCCAACATAGTTGTGCGTTTTTTCAGTGGACCGTTCTTCAAACTGGTGACGAATAAAATTTGCCGCTGGGTCATTATTGTAATGTTACTAAGCATAACAGCTTTTCTAAGTTACATGATTTCAACGATAGAGTCTACAGAACGAGATGTGAGTATTATGAGCCGGATCCACTTTTAATTATCCTTCATTGTTGTGAACTTATTTACACGCCGTGTTCCCAGTGGCGTGACTACGGAGATGGAAGATCGTGCACATGGGGGTGAGGAAGGCCCCACTCTAAAGAAAGCTCGCGCCCTAAATGTGCCACTCACCTCCCTCACCACTGGATAATTTCTAAAGCAAAAGAATATCACCTTATTTTGCCAGCAAGCGCTCATCAACAAAAACAACAACAATAGTAATAATGATAATGATAATAATAATAATAATAATAATAGTAATAATAAAGTAATAATAATATAGTAATAATAATAGTAATAGTAATAATATAGTAATAGTAATAATAATAATAATAATAATAATAATAATAATAAAATGATAATAAAAATGAAGATAATGATGATTAAATAAAGCAAAAGAATATCATCTTATTTTGCCAGCTAGCGCTCATCAACAACAACAATAATAATAATAATAATAATAATAATAATAATAATAATAATAATAGTAATAGTAATAGTAATAATAATAATAATAATAATAGTAGGTCTAATAATATTAATAATAATAATGATAATGATGATGATAATAATTAAAATAATAATAATAATAATAATAATGATAATAATGATAATAATGATAATAATAATAATTATTATTATTATTATTATTATTAATAATAATAATAATAATAATAAATAATAATAATAAAATGATAATAACAATGAAGATAATGATATTAAAAAAATCAATATAAATATGCATATTTTTTAATGTGCAAAAGTGGCAAGGTGATATTAGGCCTGTTAGAGACGGTAAGCTTAAATGTATTGCTGGGATATCCCAATGTTTTATTTTTGACAGAGGGGTGAAACGTTCTAATAAAGGACATGCTCCATATTGTAATTAAAGGTGGTGTTTCATTACCTATTTTGGGGATCCAGGAGGCTACACCCTAAAATACGGGGTTTGAGCCATTATTGTTAATTTTGGCTTAATTATTTGAGACCTGCTGCGCTGCCAGGAGGTTTGCTTTATTCCGCTGGATAGATACCGGTACTCATCATATAACTGAAACCCGAAATGTCATTTTTTTACAGGTGCAAATATTTCCTGATAGTCATTTCATTGAACAGCATACGAAAAGGAGGTATCGTTTTAAGGATAGCGTCGAGGGGGATGATATTGTTGAGCTCTACGTTGTATTTGGAATAAAAACAGTAGATCTTAGTGTGTGTCAGTTCACTGAATTCGAATGCTTTGGTAACACTGTTTATGACGATTCATTTGACATGAATTCACCACAAAATCAACAAGCACTTTTGGTATGTATTGTTAAGAATTATCGATCACCCATGGCCTTCCGGTACTAAAATTATATCATATCATTTGTCATCGTTAGGCAATGCCCGATACGATTCTTACATCATTGTTCCTTTATCGAGCACTGGTTCTACCATTAATTGGTACATTATTACTATTTTATTTAAACATGAATATTTCGATCTGACCTCAGGTCCTCTTCAGCATGACTGATTAACATTATGAGAAAGTTGGAACAGTACAATAATATCTAATAGGCGATTGGTCAGACTTAATCATATATACATGGCCTATATACATATATACATATGTATATATATATGTATACATATATATATACGTGTACGTGTGTATATATATGTATGTATATATATATGTATATCATTGATTCTGACCATTGATCCATAACATTGTTCTTACAGATTTTCTATTCTCTTCACAGTTCATTAGTTTAAGATTATATATAGTTTATTGTATCTAGTTAATACAGCCAAATTACCATCTCTTCCTTCAGACACTCTTACGCTGACGAAGGCAGCAGGTGCTGCCGAAAATTTCGTTGAATAAATGTACATGTCTCAAATTATGTCAAAGTGTCCGGCGTTTATGTTAACAACTGCAATGATATTTTATACAATCGAGACATACGTGGAACATCATCGACTAAATCGATCAGATATGAATTTTTATATGTATGTATATACGTATGTATGTATGTATGCATGTATATATATATGTATGTATATGTA